TTTATGTGCTGTAAAAACACCCGAAGGATCCTGAACCCATTACTCAAAGTGTGATCAATAACACCTTACACCCAATGTTGCTGGTGCTTTGTAAATGCACACCTTGCCAAGTGCTGTCTATAATTGATCCCACTCCAACAGGCTGGTCAAAGAGCTGCAGGATGCCTTTCCTGAGCAAAAATCAGAGTGGTGTTTGATCAAAACACACCTCATGACACACTACCCTGGAGCGATAAGGAGAGCAGGCCACGTGTCTGAGTACTCATCAGCGATGTTTGAACATCTGCACGGGCCGTTGGTGAAGCGAATCTATCGACGTACCAACAAACGCGGCGTCGAGGCCCAAATCATGGAACACCATGAGAAAAGGGCGGTATACCAAACTCTGGACACACCCGAGTGCGCCCACGAGACATCAATGCTGCAAGTAAGTCCTCATTTATTGACACAACATATGCAGCACCATTCTGCAATGGTTAACACACACAATATTGGATACATGCAGGCAACAAACCTTGGCACACCGGTAGTTACCCAAGACGCGTATGCGGTGTTTGTCAAGCCTCCAGCTGAGCCAACCAAGATGAACGAGTTCTACAACAAGTGGGCTGCCCAACAGCCAATCGCACATCAGTACTTCGAAACGGCGTTGGCCGAGTATGGCTTGAGCGCCGAAAAGGTCATGGTAAGCTTTTACTCGTGCAGCAATCGAATATTACTACCGTACAACAATTTCTCACACCATTCTTGTACATGTATACTTTCAGGCTCATCCAACAATGGCAATCCCGGCTGATGCGGGTACTCAGTCATCCAAAGAAGCCCATTTTGTGAGGGCTACACCGGACAGCTACAAAAGACCTTGGTTCTCTAACGTTGCAATTTCGTGCGAGGGAGGTGGCGTGGAATACGCTATGTTGATGCTCCTGTTCCATTGCAAGAGGCGCAACGTACGACACAACCTTGCATACGTCAGGTACTACATGACGTCAGGCACAGACGCAACAACAGGGTGCGTGCGTCTGCGATGGCCCGCAGACGAGAATGCATTTCACATAATTCCAATCGCGTCTATCTTGCGCCACGTGCATGTGGTGAAGATGTATGATCCGAAAGAGCCGGATGTGTACATGATGAACAAATACATAGTGTAATCTGTAGTTACAACTAATAATTGCATTCTTGCATTGTAGAAACAAATAATACCGTCTACGTGTTGTTCCTGAAATCATCCATACTTAAATTGCCAGTACACAAAACGAGGCTTACTGCAATGTCGAATTAAAACGAACCGCTGAATTTCCGAACCGCTATTTTGGGAAGCGATGTGCAATCGCGGCTCGGACGAACTGGAAAACAGTCTGGAAACAGGCGGGAGAATTTCGTGAGGGGCGAAATTGAGTGCCTGAAATTTCCGTTGGTGTTGCAGCTGAGTCGCGCCTGAAATTGCTGTTCGACAAATTGCCGAACCCAACCACAAAAAGGCAGGAACATTGTGATGTTCCCCTCGCGGCGTTGCTCCCCATGCATTCTTGCGAGCGCAACGAGCGCAAATAGCCCGCTTCGCATCTCCGTTGCGCGCGTCGCACATCGGTGGGGCACACTGGGGCGACGTTCTGATGGATGGCGAAGACGTCCAAGAAATGGCCGACGCGGTGCAGTGAAAGAATATCCCACTCCGTTCCTATAGGGTATACGCTCGGCAGGCACCTGCATGTTTGACGCTTGGGTGTGGAGTCAAGCATCACGGCAGTCGGACGGATCATCCCAATACAAAGATGGGCTTGTCGTGCAGCATTGGTGTGCTTCTTGCATTTGTCAAGCAACCTTCTACTACTACCAAGTTTGACTCATAATCCGTGTCGCGACGCGAAACGAAATGGTGCAATCAAGGCGATACGTATTCCTTCTCGTGTGCCTGATGCTTATAGGTAAATTGAGTCTCGTGTATGATCCCGCGCGCAAAGCTTCGACTAAACATTTGTTCGATTTGCGGAAGATTTGCACACAAGTCCCTCCATCTTCGAGCTGTTCTTACCTAACGCACGCTCACCACTGATACCAGGCCGACGCTAAGATATATATATATATTTATATATGTATACATATATACGTGTATATATACATATATCATTTTCTTGTGCTTCTCTGCATATCCATGTTTCTTGTTTCTCTGTGGCGGGTCTTTCACCAGGCGCTGCCATGCAGGCATATGCTAAGTTACGTCGTGGTGGGGAAGGGCAGCGGGTCACTGGTCGGGCAGATTTTCACCCCGTGGACGTTTGGCGTGAGCAAATGGAGGGCGCCCAAAGTCTACGCCGGCGACAAGCTCGGTGAGTTGCTGTAGTGGTTCTGAGATTGATTACTAATCATCACATGAGTCGAAAATTCGTTGCCCCTAATTTTCTGCATCTACTACACTCTCTCTACACCCTGTTTCTCACCATAGTGGATTCCAGTACAGTGGAGGAGTGGATAAGCACGGTGAAAGGTGGTTCGATTATGTTTCGGTGGTTCAATTAGGCAATTCCAATAAAACAAGGCCAGCCAGGCAGTTCCGTACACTCTACTATAGCGATAAACAGGGTGTGTCATGGTTCCCCTCGAACCCTTCAGTTTTCCGGTGGATGGCGCCTCACGACGTGGAGAGGTTCCACGACGACATGAGCTATGAGTTGTGCGACTTCACACTCGCGAATAACCTGCACTATGCGACGCACGTCTGCTTCTACGTGTACACCGTCAGGCATGGCGACCAGGGCCAGACGCTCTACTTTGGAAGCGCCGAGGGCTGACTTTTCAAATTTAGGTACCCTGATTTCAACCTTAAAAAAAAAAATTTACCCTGAAGGCACATTTTCCGGAAAAACAGCACCCTGATTGCTCAGGGTTGAGAAGTAGTGAACTCTGAATGTTCAGGGTCGAGAATTGAAAATCAGGGTCGTAGTAACGCGCTCTTTCTTTACCGAGGACAGAAGTGACTGGCACTGTGGCGATGTGACTGGCACTGTGGCGATGTGACTGGCGCTGTGTTAGAGCACATCTATTTCGACCAATAACAGCAACCTAAAATCTGACATTACATATTCGCCCGATATAGATGGTGGGTGTATGGGAACGAAACTTCGAAGAAACTTCGTCTCGATAAAGCGAGGGGGGGGGGGGGGGGGAGGATTACGCACGTGGGGGGCACTGAAATCAATGCGAAGGGGTTATCAGGAGGAAATTTCCGAGAAACTTCGCCCCGATAACATCGCATTCAGGGTCCACAGGCCTCGTACTCTGTATTGACAGGGTCCGTGAAAACCCTACACTGAGAGTGTACACAAAATTTCAGGGTCCGCTAAAGCAATACCCTGAATGGATCAGGGACCAAAATGTGAAAAACCTGATTTCTCAGGGTCCAGAAAGTGACAAGTCTGAAATCACCCTGAAATCAGGGTAATTACCCTGATAAAATCAGCCCGTCTCGTCCGACTGCGAGCGGAACCTCTAAGTGCAGATTCCGATACAACTGCCTTGATAAGTATTCGAACCAAGTTTTTCCCAATTCTTGCCGCTAGGAGGAAAGGCCAGACAGTGCTCTGAAGTTCAGACTTCAAACCCTAGGCTACGGGAGGCATGTGAAGGCATTGCCAATATTCGCACTGTGGGTTATGGGGGGGCTGGGGCTGCTACGAGAGTCACGTAGTGTGATTTTTGTGTGTGTGTTTTATTCCAGTTGTTTTTTACCAAATTTTATAATAAGATGCTGCTTGCTACCGTATGTGAGGAAGAGAATTCTGTGAAGTCCCAATAAAGTATCTGGTGATGCATATCTAAAAAATGCCAGCCCTCCGCATTGGAGAGCTCATTCATCTATTGCAATGACGCGTATGCGGCCCCCCCAGCGCCCACATTCCACGACACATGCCATTGGATTTACAACAAGCTTACGTGGAAGCTTTGTGTTGGCTTGTTGGTTTGCGGGTGGTTCAGCTTTGCAGCGACAGCAGAAGCCACGCCGACCATTACGGCCTCACCCATTGTCGGTGACCACCCGACAGCAGCCGCGTTAGTCCAGTGTACTTTACCCTCAAGTCTTTCCGTTATTGGAATGCCTAAGTGATGAGACTTGCAACTGGGTTCCGAACACCTCAAAAGTGGAGCTTTGGTTTTCTAAATGCAGACCAGCAAATCCAAGGCTCTGGCACCGCAACCCAAGGCCGAAGAAGTGATCGGGTTTAGAATCACGGGATGGAAGGTCGGTTCTGGAACCGATGGGGGTCACACTAACAATAGAGAAAGGCTATGGGAAGGGAGGGGGAGTTATGAAGAGCAGCTTCAAGTGGCGAGTAGGAGCTCTGACAGGATCACGCGAGGAAGAGTGGAGCCGTTGTTTCAGGGAGGGAGAAAGTTTCTACCTGGGTAATTCAATAAACGCCTACACAATACACATGATGCTTCTTGCACTACCAGCAGTGAGTTTTGTGTCTAGGCGACTCGGCTGTCTCCGAGCCGCAACAGATTTACATTTGCAACATTGTAATGTAAGTACATCGTGCAGCCATCATTGCCCTTGAACATCATGCACATTCGAAGGTTCCCCTTCGCGTTGTTCGCATGCTATGCATGCGAGAGTAACGACTTGATGTAACCCTCTTCGTTTCTTCTATGTGCGCATCAGCAATGGTTGGCGACTGTTTCCATGGGCGGCGAAGTTCAAGATTTGGCGGTGCAAAACAAGAAAATAGCACCTGTTCTTGCCCTCAGGCATATGCAACTTTGATGCACAGCTCCACAATCAAGCACCACCCCATCAAGACAATCGGACAGAAGGATTTATCGTCCCAACTACAAAAGCAGAGTTCGTCGCCTCAATTCAAGCACCAATCTTGATGAATCCTAGGTCCATTTTCGCGCTCAACTTATACGACTCTATCCTAGATTCTTACGTTTGACAAACAAACTTTGGATACCATTTCAGCTAGAGCCACAATCCTTGTCGGGGAGCAAACGAAATGGCAACATCAAGGCGACACGTGTGCCTTCTCTTGTGCCTCATGCTCATAGGTGAGTCGAGCTTCACCCTCATCATCAACTCAACGCATCGACCAAATTGTCGTTCGACCAACGAACGCTTTGCCCATCAAGTTCCTCCGCCATCCTTCCGTCCGCTTCCTTCTGGCTGGTCGTTCATTGCCGCTTCTTCCAGCTCACCAGTCACTCACTCTCAAGTACTCATCCTCAAGCCGATGCGAAACAGGTGTTGCCGAATTGTGCGCGCGACCCTGTGATGGATGCTGTTTTTATTTTTTTTCCTTCTCTGCAAATCCTGTGTTTTCTTTTCTCGTTTTGTTTTTTCTCTTGCCGCGTTTTCTCCAGGTGCGATGCAGGCCGACGCAAAGTACATTGTGGTGGGGAAGGGCTACGGCTCGTTGTTCGGGCAGGTGTTCAGCCCGTGGACGTTCGGCGTGAGCAATTGGAAGGCGCCCAAAGTCTACGCCGGCGACCAGCTTGGTCAGTCGCTGTAGTAGTGGTTCATATTTTTTGTGCGAACGATATTGATTAAAACTTCACACGTATGTCCCCAGTATTAAAACTTATTCCCTGAGCTGCTCTCCTGTGCAGGTCACTCGGCTTCAAGGAGTAGGGCTGCTGGACGGGGGGCAGCAAGCAAGCAAGCAAGCACCTCAGGCAGCATCAGCGTCGCCCCCATGTGTCAAGCACCTGGCGGCAGCACAAGGCAACCACATCGTCAGATAAGTGCTTGCTTCTTAGTGCACCCATGCTCGCATCCCACATCATGCCCCTTTCCGCTTCTCCCTCACTTGTCCATCAATTTCGAGGCCACTGCTGGCACCACACGGTACAAGCCACACGCCTTTCTTACTGCAGCAGGTAAAGCCCCCCCAGGTTTTGTTTTCAGGTAAATTCCCCTCAGGTAAATCGCGTGGGTGTGTGGCTTTGTGACGGTTGCTCCACCAATGGCCTTCCTTCCGCTCTTCCACCGTCTCACCTCGCATGCATGCATCCCCTTCCCTGCTGCTGCCTGCCTCTCCCATCACTGCCCGTTCATGCTCCTCCCCTCCTCCCCTCCCTCCCCGTCCCCTTACCTTCCACCCCCGTCACCTTACCTCCCGCCCCTCCCTCCCCCTGCAGCCCTGCTCTGAGCAGCGCACGAGCCGAGCTGCAGTGGGTGGGACACGCCATGCCATGCCTGCTGCCTCTGCTCCTTCAACTGCCCACGCTGCTTCAACTGCCTGCTGCTCTCAGGCCATCAGCTAAGTGCCCCTTCCTCCCATATCTTCTATTGTTTTCATTTGCTACCGTTTTGTTTGCTGTTTGTGCTTCCGCCATTCTTCTTGAAACAGTGCCACTGGTTGGGCCGGCTCACATGCCACAGACCCCCTTAGAGCAGGTAACCCCCTCAGGTGCAGGTAAACCTCTCAGGTGCAGGTACTCTCTTCAGGTTCCCTTGGGGTCTGTGACTTGTGGCCGTGCTTCCATCAGTGGCCCCTCCTATCTTCCTGAACTGGCAGCTTCTGGTGTTTCCCTTGTGCTTCTGGCCATTCCATGCGCACTCACTGCTGCTCTGTGTCTGTGCCTTGCTGGTGGAGGGGAGGGGCGTGGGGTCAACACCGACACTCCCTCACGCCTCTCCCCTGTGGCCGTGCAGGGACGCGGACGGGAGGTTGGGAGGAGGGCTGCTGGGAGGAGTCACCTGGTGGTGCTTCAGCTGCCTTCTGCTCGCTCTCACATGACCAGCTAAGTGCCCCTTCCTCCGCGCCCTCACCCTTGCCTGCCACATCATATCGTCGTGTCCTTTTCCGTCAGTTTGTAGGTTTCTTGTGCTTTCGCACTTCCCTTGAATCGGTGCCACTGCTTGGGACCGGCCCACATGCCACAGACCCCCTTACTTCAGGTATTTTTTCAGGTGCAGGTATCCCCCTCAGGTACTGCAGGTTCCCTTGGGGTCTGTGACTTGTGGCCGTGCTTCCATCAGTGGCCCCTCCTATCTTCCTGAACTGGCAGCTTCTGGTGTTTCCCTTGTGCTTCTGGCCATTCCATGCGCACTCACTGCTGCTCTGTGTCTGTGCCTTGCTGGTGGAGGGGAGGGGCGTGGGGTCAACACCGACGCTCCCTGACGCCTCTCCTCTGTGGCCGTGCAGGGACGCACACGGGAGGCTGGGAGGAGGGCTGCTGGGAGGAGTCACCTGGTGGTGCTTCAGCTGCCTTCTGCTCGCTCTCACATGACCAGCTAAGTGCCCCTTCCTCCGCACCCTCACCCTTGCCTGTCACATCATATCGTCGTGTCCATTTCTGTCAGTTTGTTGGTTGCTTGTGCTTTCGCACTTCTCCTTGAATCAGTGCCACTGCTTGGGACCGGCCCACATGCCACAGACCCCCTTACTTCAGGTATTTTTTCAGGTGCAGGTATCCCCCTCAGGTACTGCAGGTTCCCTTGGGGTCTGTGACTTCTGGCCGTGCTTCCATCAGTGGCCCCTCCTATCTCTCTGATTTGGCAGCTTCTGGTGTTTCCCTTGTGCTTGTGGCCATTCCATGCGCACTCACTGCTGCTCTGTGTCTGTGCCTTGCTGGTGGAGGGGAGGGGCGAGGGGTCAACACCGACGCTCCCTCACGCCTCTCCCCTGTGGCCGTGCAGGGACGCACACGGGAGGCTGGGAGGAGGGCTGCTGGGGAGGAGTCACCTGGTGGTGCTTCAGCTGCCTTCTGCTCGCTCTCACATGACCAGCTAAGTGCCCCTTCCTCCGCGCCCTCACCCTTGCCTGTCGCATCATATCGTCTTGTCCATTTCTGTCAGTTTGTTGGTTGCTTGTGCTTTCGCACTTCTCCTTGAATCACTGCCACTGCTTGGGACCGGCCCACATGCCACAGACCCCCTTACTTCAGGTATTTTTTCAGGTGCAGGTATCCCCCTCAGGTACTGCAGGTTCCCTTGGGGTCTGTGACTTGTGGCCGTGCTTCCATCAGTGGCCCCTCCTATCTTCCTGAACTGGCAGCTTCTGGTGTTTCCCTTGTGCTTGTGGCCATTCCATGCGCACTCACTGCTGCTCTGTGTCTGTGCCTTGCTGGTGGAGGGGAGGGGCGTGGGGTCAACACCGACGCTCCCTCACGCCTCTCCCCTGTGGCCGTGCAGGGACGCGGACGGGAGGCTGGGAGGAGGGCTGCTGGGAGGAGTCACCTGGTGGTGCTTCAGCTGCCTTCTGCTCGCTCTCACATGACCAGCTAAGTGCCCCTTCCTCCGCGCCCTCACCCTTGCCTGTCACATCATATCGTCTTGTCCTTTACTGTCAGTTTGTTGGTTGCTTGTGCTTTCGCACTTCTCCGTGAATCAGTGCCACTGCTTGGGACCGGCCCACATGCCACAGACCCCCTTACTTCAGGTATTTTTTCAGGTGCAGGTATCCCCCTCAGGTACTGCAGGTTCCCTTGGGGTCTGTGACTTGTGGCCGTGCTTCCATCAGTGGCCCCTCCTATCTTCCTGAACTGGCAGCTTCTGGTGTTTCCCTTGTGCTTCTGGCCATTCCATGCGCACTCACTGCTGCTCTGTGTCTGTGCCTTGCTGGTGGAGGGGAGGGGCGTGGGGTCAACACCGACGCTCCCTCACGCCTCTCCCCTGTGGCCGTGCAGGGACGCGGACGGGAGGCTGGGAGGAGGGCTGCTGGGAGGAGTCACCTGGTGGTGCTTCAGCTGCCTTCTGCTCGCTCTCACATGACCAGCTAAGTGCCCCTTCCTCCGCGCCCTCACCCTTGCCTGTCGCATCATATCGTCTTGTCGATTTCTGTCAGTTTGTTGGTTGCTTGTGCTTTCGCACTTCTCCTTGAATCACTGCCACTGCTTGGGACCGGCCCACATGCCACAGACCCCCTTACTTCAGGTATTTTTTCAGGTGCAGGTATCCCCCTCAGGTACTGCAGGTTCCCTTGGGGTCTGTGACTTGTGGCCGTGCTTCCATCAGTGGCCCCTCCTATCTTCCTGAACTGGCAGCTTCTGGTGTTTCCCTTGTGCTTCTGGCCATTCCATGCGCACTCACTGCTGCTCTGTGTCTGTGCCTTGCTGGTGGAGGGGAGGGGCGTGGGGTCAACACCGACGCTCCCTCACGCCTCTCCCCTGTGGCCGTGCAGGGACGCGGACGGGAGGCTGGGAGGAGGGCTGCTGGAGGAGTCACCTGGTGGTGCTTCAGCTGCCTTCTGCTCGCTCTCACATGACCAGCTAAGTGCCCCTTCCTCCGCGCCCTCACCCTTGCCTGTCGCATCATATCGTCTTGTCCGTCAGTTTGTTGGTTGCTTTTGCTTTCGCACTTCTCCTTGAATCTGTGCCACTGCTTGGGACCGGCCCACATGCCACAGACCCCCTTACTTCAGGTATTTTTTCAGGTGCAGGTATCCCCCTCAGGTACTGCAGGTTCCCTTGGGGTCTGTGACTTGTGGCCGTGCTTCCATCAGTGGCCCCTCCTATCTTCCTGAACTGGCAGCTTCTGGTGTTTCCCTTGTGCTTGTGGCCATTCCATGCGCACTCACTGCTGCTCTGTGTCTGTGCCTTGCTGGTGGAGGGGAGGGGCGTGGGGTCAACACCGACGCTCCCTCACGCCTCTCTCCTGTGGCCGTGCAGGTGGCAGTGGTGGGAGGGGAGGGGCGCAGCACTCCACTCGGCTGGGATGGGATGGGAGAGTATTGGGTCTGGTCTCCTGAACGAGGTGAGCCTCTTGCCTCTTCCCTTCACTCGTGCTGCTGCTTGGACTTCTCCCTATTCTCACTTCACTCTCTTGCTCCCTCCGTACCTTTACGCGTCTGCCTGCTCTTCTCCCCATGCTCACTGCTGTCCCCTACACCCTGCGCCCCTCCCACCCACCCCCCCCCTCTCAGTGCCTAGTGCAACCGAGGCTGTAGCAGGGAGGCAGGGGGCGGCAGGAGGGAAGCAGGGGGGCAGCAGGAGGGAGAGTATGGGGTGAGACATGGAGTGCACAAACAGCAAACCCAGCCCACCACAGCTAAGTACCCTCGCTGCCTCCTCTACTCCCAACCCTTGCGCTTGTGTTGCCTTTCGTGTCTTGCTTGCACCATGCATCATTCTCTTTTCCCTGCTGCGCTTTATCACACTCAAGAGGCCTCCCTGCCCAAGGTAACAGGTACAATTCTCTGGTAAAGCCTCAGGTATTGGATTCAGTGTGGTTCAGCTGGTACGAGGTCTCTTGGGTGTGCCACTGCAGCAGCAATCCATTCATCCACTGCACATCGTTCGTTCACACTCTCCAGTCTTCGGTCTCGCTTTACTCACTCGTCTATGTTTCTTTCCTCATTTCCCTTCCCACTCCTCTGCTCCCCCTTCACACCTCCGTCCACTTCCCCCACACCTCCGCCCCCTCCTCCCTTCCTCTCTCTGTCCCACTCTTCAACCCTCTCCTCCCAGCTGGTCTCTCACATGGGAGTGGCAGTGGCGGGGGACATGGAGTGCACAGGCAGCAGCTGCTCTCCACCCAACCTTCACACAGCTAAGTCCCTGCCCTGCT